ATTTCTCTTAATATTAATTTCATAAACTGGCTCATTATTATGGTTTTGATCAGTATAGTCGATATTTATTTCCTTATTGTAGGTTGAAGAACTGTATTTGTTAGAAATCTGATCATTTGTAAAGCTTAAGTTGTGGAGAGGTCCAATAAAACCACAGAATTTAATTTCCTTCACTGTGTTTGAAATGTTTTTCGATGTTTCTATATGCTAAAATTATATAATTTTAATAAATTATTCGGGAATCATGATTTCCAAAAAATAGTCAATTCGATTTTTAAAAATTAGTTAATCTATAAATCGGTTAAAACCTAGTTGAACCAAGGATAGATAGGGCCTGCGATTGCGGGTCTGTAATTTTGATACCCTTGTATTATCCGCCGCCATTTTCCTTTTTTCCGAATATGATCAGCTATAACTTTTTATGCTTGATCAAATCCGAATATTATTCGAAAAAGATTTATATTTAGTATGAGTTCGATTTTCAGGAATTGATTTACCTGTATAATAAGGTCATGAATTAAGGTGTTATAACTGCAGCAAACTGTTGAAAACTTATTTGCACCATTTGTTAAAATTTTGATTATATTTTGCTGTTTCCCAGAATAAATGGTTAATTTATTAGCAATCAGATGATTTAATGCAAAATTTTCAAAGTCATTGTTGGTAAGAAATATAAAAGCTTTTTCAGAATGAATTTGTAAAGGTATATTTGTCTTATTTTCAGCAAATAATAATTTAATCATTTGTGGATTAAATATAGCTTTAAGAAAACTAGCAGTTTCAAAGGCACATTTAAATATTTGTTCGAAGAAATAACGAGCAATTTTCATTTCTTCAATATTTTTTGGAAAATTTGGAAGTATTGAACAGAACACTAAATAAAATTTTAATCATTAAAAACACTAAATATAATTTTAAATATAATTGCATGTTACTAATCTTTACATGGTGCTATCGAAAGATTAAGGTGGATATCTTTTGGTGTTTTCATCTTGTCTTCGCTACACGATGCTACGGTCGCCTTCGTTCCGCTCGACAATTTTGAGCCAATTATGGAAATTTTAGTTTAGCCGAAATTTTTTTGAATTATACAGGGGACTGGGCGGGGGGTGGAATAGGTACCCAAGTGACATCCCCTCTAATCCAACGATCTCATACAATTTTAATTATAGCTTTAATTAAATTACCCCGTTCCGATCTATAAATAGCAATATGCATGCTTCTTTCATCAACACTTAAAAACATAGGAATTGATTTTTTATTCCTTTTATCCACTAAAAACTATTTAATTTAAAATAGTAAAAATATTAATTTTGAAACTTTTTCTCAAGATGTTTACTCAATTGAAATTCAAAATGAATTGGGTTTGGCTTAATAATTTTAGTAGAACGTATAAAGCTATTATGAGTATAATGCTAAAAAATAAAAATTAATAGAATAAATTTATAAACTACAATCTCGAGTCTATCGAATTCCTTCCGTGCCAGTTCTTTCTCATATTTATTAATAAAATTTCTGAAGTAAAGATTTGTCTGTTGCATAGATAATAACTGATTGAATTTCAAATATTTAAATATATCAAGTTGAACTTCAGATGGAAGCAAATACATTTTTAATGTAAATTTTCTTTAATTAATAAGCTAAAATTCTAAAATAATTGCAGTATTATTATCAAAAATAGTAAAATAAATAGAGAAAAAGTATAAATATTAGACAAATCTAATAAGAAATGTTATTTTTGGCAATAAGAAATTTAATCTGGATCGTGTCTGACATTGATCACTGCAGCGGAAAACGAAGAAGTTGGTAGAATGGAAACCAGTTATTTCGGAGTAGTTAAACCAATTGAAGATGAAAAGAAGAGAACATTCACGATTAACCACATACACGAACAAAAAGCCCACATAGCTAAAGTACTCAGTATTTGGACAAAAGATACACCAGTAACTGCTAAAACTGGTTTTGAAAGGAAGGCATTTGCTAACGGTTACATAAAAGAAGTATTTAAATGTGACCGAGACGACGGACTACTACAAATTGAAGTAAATATAATTCTTGTCCCAAATGAAGGTCTTTATGAACACGATGAAGACTTTGAAGCTATGACACACGGAATGTTAACAATTATTCAAGTTGCCGAAACACCCGGCGGATACCGCGATCAAGCAGATACCTTTGGCCTACATACCCCAACTCAATTAATTAAAGAAGAAAAATCTCCACGAACTGAAATACTCAAGGCGCTATTCGGTCGTCCAGGGACGGACGATTCGGTGGTTGGAGGTGATATTCCGAAGGAATTAGAGTGTGTAAAGAGTTTAAATGAAGAACAGCAAAATACACTCTCTAATTGGCTGCATGAAGGAAGGGGGCGCCTACATTACCAGCAGGCGCCCCCAGGAACGGGAAAAACGCGCCTGGCAGCCGCATGTATAGCCGCAGCTCTGAAGAAGGACCCGAAAATTGCAGTCTTGGCCACGGCAAATTCAAATTTGCCTGTGAGCAAGTTGATCGATGAAAGTGCCCAAATCAATCTTGGAAGTGAGATGTTGGCATTCTTCGCCTAGACAGCACGCATCAGATACGGAGATCAAATACTCTTAATAAATGAACATCAACTTGAAAATAAAATAAAAGGAAAATTTGCAGAGAAGTTAGAAGGTTCTGAGAAGAGAGACGTAACGGATTACCTGGCACACATCAAAGACAAACCACGTCACACCAAAGAAAGAAAAGTTGGGGAAATTTATCTGGCTAGAGAATTTAAAAATGCGATCTTTGGAACAATCTACATGTGTTTAGGAATTCCACGCGCTCATGTATCGACCACTCACCTCATAATCGACGAGGTTACTCAGACAAGCTTCTCCATGATGGTTCACCTTCTGTGCAAATTACCACTTGTCCGGTCTGTTCTCTTGACGGGGGATGTCCGCCAATTGGGCACGCATTTGAAATAACTACCAGAAGTAATTCAAAGCGGTTACGGTCTTGAAAGCGTAACTGATCAAATGGAAAATTGCGAAAGAGTATCAGTCACGATTTTGGAACGATGTTACCGCTCGCATCCCATTATAACTGAATGCTTCAACTATTCCTCGTATGAAAAACACGACGAACGAGTAATCGCTGCAGTTCCCGCATCAAAGCGCGCAGGATTGACAAAGCTTGGAATAAATCTTCCGGTGAACGATGTTCCTCTCATACTTCTAAATATACGAGGAACAATCGAGCAAGACAGCGCCTCCTACTCTCTTTCTTCACCTGAACAGACTTAGGCAGCTATTATAATTGCAAAAGCGCTGGAGCACCGAGATCCTCAAGGTGTTGCCATTATATGTCTATACACGTACCAATGCGAAAAAATAAGGGAAAGACTGCACCAAGAAAATCTACAAGTATCTGTGAACTCTGTAGATGCTTTTCAAAGCCGCGAGCACCGTTTAATCATTCTTGTAACAACGAGCACTAAATCGCCTGGATCAGCAGCTCGCGCCGATGCCTCTGACTTTTTGAAAGACAGCTGACGTGCCACGGTTGCATTGTCCAGGGCACAAAGTGGACTAGTCATTATTGCCGATTTTGAAGCCATACGGGAAGGCGAAACGTGGAGAAGATTCATCACTGCGGCAAAACAACACACTCCCTTTGTTGACGAACGCTATTTGGAGGTTATGGAAAATGAAGAACCAACGCGAGACTCGAATGGAGTACTCAATGATTTAAAAGGAAGGTCAATTGAAGTTAAAGTAAAAGAAGTTAAACTAATACGTGGTGGTGAACTAAGAACAGGAAGAGGAAAAATGATTTGCAACAGATGTGGAAATCCCGGACACTTGGCAAGAGACTGTAGAAGAAGATGAGAGAAGAAGAAGATAGAAAATGGAGGCACAGACTTGGGGCACATGGTAAAGCTGTAAATTGTGGTGGGTTTAAAAATAAAAATGAAATGAAAATAAATAAAATTGAAAATTTGGGAAATTAGGAAAAAGACCAGGGGACGGTCTTCCCCGGGGTTGGAGGTGTAAGGCGTACTTTGATCCGGATGGGCAAGGATGGAGAAAAGGAACTTTAGTTCCTCTGGGAAAGGATTGAATAAGGGGAGGAGAATGACAAATAAGGCCTTAGGATAAAACTAAGTGGAAAATAGTGAAAAAGGAATCAGTCGACTGTTCACCAGTCCGTTGGAAAGTAATCAATGTAAAGAGTGAATAACCGGCCGAAGAAGCTGAGAGCTTATTCATTAATCCTGCAGAAGAAGCCAAGAGCTTATTAATCAGCGCATATTATTCCCGGGCAAGTCGGTCTCGTAACCGACCAGCATTATACAATCGCATAGAAAGGCCTACCCTCCGCTCCGCAATATACTCATCGGCATCGCCTCTCGGGACCCTTAACATCGCACGCAACCCGCCCAACATCCCAATACCATCCTGGCCCAGCACTAGCTTTACTATATTAGACAAATCTAATAAGAAATGTTATTTTTGGCAATACGAAATTTAATCTGGATCGTGTCTGACATTGATCCATAACTTATGTCTACTCCACCTATTCAAATTATGACATTTTATATCCTCGTTTTTGTAGAAGTTTAATATATTTTAATTAGTGACCGGTAAAATCGATTTTTCCGGATCTGGATTTGCAACTAGAGTCGGACAGGATGGCCAGATTTTTCCGGATAAACCCGGTCCGGTTTTAATCCGGAAATTAAAAAAACCCGGATTTGCGACCCGGACTCCGGAAAAATCCGGCTGGTCCGGTCCGGCCCCGGACTCTAATTTTAATAGTGTTTAATTAATTTCTAGACTCATTTGGGTAATATGTTTTTATAGTCTGGTTAATAGAAAATTTCATCTATGAATTCCCCGTCAGGAATTTCACGTTCGGGAGAAACTTCAGAAAAATTTAAAAATAACTGTTACGGGATTAGTCTTTTAAAATCTCGTGCGTATATAGTCTCGTTCAAATTTTATATTTCTATTCAGACAAAAAAGTTGATATAAAAATGAATCTTCTTTTACCAGAAATTCAACTAGATATATTTAAATGTCTTGATTTCAATCAATTATTAAATATTCAGAAAATAAATCGTTACTTCAAAAATTTGATAAATAAATATGAGGATAAATTGGCATTGATGGAATTAATTAAAGTCGAAATTGTAAATTCAGTTTTTAAAAATTTTTTTAAATTTTCTGAAGCTTTCGATCAAGGAGAACAGTTTAAATACTCCTAAATTTGTTAAACCAGTACCTAAACTTTATGACTTTCAATTAAGTGAAGAACTTGAAAAGAAGGTTTTTGAATATTTTTATTTAAAATAAATTAATTTTAGTGGATATGTGGAATAGAAAAATCAATTCCAATGTTTTTGGGTTGTGGTGATAAGGACGTAAATCTCGTTATTTTTGTATTGGAACAGTGTTTTGAATTCAGACAAGGTTAATTTATTCGAGGCTATATTTTCTAAAAATTCCTTTCGCCAAAATTCCTCTTTTATGGAGTTTCGCTTTTTAAAATCCGTTTCGTCACTCTTCTGGTACAAATACTTTTCAATTCTGATATTTGCCCTGTTCTTACGTAAATTACCTGGATTTGTAGAACAATTAGTGGAAAATTTTTTAGGAAACTTTTCTAGACTTTCTTGTCCAAGCTCAAGATTATTTCCGATAATTTTGTGTCGTACCCACTTCCCCTGTTGACCTTCTGGAATGGACCCAGAAGAAAGAGTCACATTTTTAAAAATGGAGCAACTAAAAAATTTCAAAGATTCCCATCTACATGAAAAACTGTTTTTGAGTGACAAGGATTTAGATTTATGGCTTGCAGATCTTGGACTACTTCACGGAAAACGAACTTGTCATAAATCTGGAGGCCGAACTACTATTCATCAAATTCAAGGTAGATTTTTTTTGTAGCAAACTTGTAATTGGCGTTGTACAACAATAAAGAGTAGTCTTATTGCGGGTCCAGCCCAGAATGTCGAAATCCAGAAGGTCAACACCCTACAGGTCAACTGCCCAGAATGTCAACTCCAAAAATTTACTGAATCGGCTATTCTGAATTGACATTGTGAATAAGGCTTTACCGAACAAAAAGATGTCGTGCAGAACAAGGTTATTTATCCGGTACTTTTTTTGAAGGAAGGATGTTTGACTTTTGTGGGGAGTCGAGCAAGGGACTAGTGGTGAAAATGCTTTTTAAACGTTATAGAAGTAAAGAGATCTACAGAGAATCTCCATGATTCTTTTTTCTTTTTTTCTCCTTTCATCGATTATTGTATGCCATCGGAAAATTGAGTAGAGTTTAGGAAAGAAGGAATTGACCATTTTTAATACTTTGAGAAAGAAATTAGAGAGGGAGGGTACGAGCTTCAAAATTACCTTATTTTTTAATCAAGATTCTATTCAGAATTCTATTTACAATTTCCAATCATTCCAAAAAATATTGAAGAAATGAGAAATGCTCGATATTTATTTGAACAACTTTTTAGACGTAACATTGTTTGTTTTGAATTGCATCAATATATATTTAACCCAAAAATGATTGAATTATTATTTGATGAAACAATGAATCTACCTTTACAACTTCATTCTCAAAAGTCTAATCTATTTATTTACAAAGATTATTTCCATTCTTGTCTTTTAAATTTTGTATTAAATCATCTAACTTCTAACCAATTTACAATTTATCTTGACGATGCCATCGATATAGGGGAATATCAAGATGTTTTATTTACAATTTTGATAAATGGATGAAATAACTTTTCTAAAATTTATTATAGAAATCGCAAATTGTCAGAACTTTATAATCTTATTCTACAGGTGATTAGAGAATATTGATTATTTTTTAAATCTACTTATATCCTCTCATTACCGATATCCCCCTTTAATGCTACAAATCAACTGATGTCCCCTAAATCCCGCAAAACCCCTCATCATCTTTACTTCCTTTAGATACTCTGATTAAACCTGTGAAGAAACAAAAAGTTTCAGGTTCAATCTCAAGTCTCAGTCTCAGGGTCAAGCAGCTTTGAGGACCTTGGAAATTATTCAAACAGAAACAAAAATCCTCGGTTATCCGTCTCGGTTACAAATAAAAATCCCTAGTCATAATTAAAAAATTAACTTAATTTTAGCATATAGAAACATCAAAAGACTTTCCCAAAATGGTTAGGGAAATTCTATTAGGTGATGTTTATGGACGTCTTATGTTAAGTAACAGAGCAGAAAATATTGATATCAACGTTGAAAATTTCACTTTAAAATCTACAAAATTTCAACTTTCCAATAAATACAACCCAGAAATGAAGTTTTCTGTTTATATTGAAGAGATTTATGTTATTAAAAATCAGCCGATTTCCGATATTGAAATTAAAAGGATTAATTGATAAATTTATTTTTCACTTAGTTGTTTGTCATACATTTATTTTTTAATTTTATTATCTGAACCAACTTGACTACTTTATTTTCACATTAATTTTATATATTTTTTAAGATCACAAAATATCTGGCAGTCTAAAATTGCCGCATGAGGCCTAAAATGAAGAATTTTGGCTAGCTAAAATCGACTAGTATATATTTTGAGTCCGGTTTCATGCTCCGACGTACTACAATAATCCAGCCTATTACTTTAACAAAGCTATATTTAAGACAGAAATGATTGAATTATTATTTTAGCACATTCAAATAATAATTCAATCATTTCTGGATTAAATATAGCTCCATACTTATGCAAATAAAAATTAAAAATTTTGGACTTTGACGTTAAAATTAAATTTAATATATTTATTTCTACATCACATTCAAATGTCTACAAAAATGAAAGGTTATTAAAATTTACTAGAATTTTAGATTTATGTTGAGTATTCGGGTTGTCAGGTTTCGAACCGAACCGGAACCCTGAAGATTTTTGGTTTCGATTAAACGTGGAATTTGTTGAAACCGGCAACCCAAACAGAACTATTAATTTCAGATTATACTTTTTTACCATGTGGAAGACACTACGGATATCATGGACTGCGGAGATCATTTCGAATTTTAATGATTGGAGATGCGCTTAATGAACTTTGTTTTAGATAGCTTTAATTGCCATGAATTTTAGGTTTCTTAATTTATTTTAAAGATTTTTCATTTTTTCTTAATTAAGTTTAAATATTGCCGAGCCTCTCTAAAAAAGATTTGCTATGCTTAACAAAAAATATTTTTAGTAAAGTTTCTGTCATTTATGTTTTGATGTCGATACAGAAACATATTTCTAAGCGGTTTTGTGGTAAATACTCACAAAAATATGCTTTATCAAATGGGTTTGTTAAATTTTTTCCGAAAAATTTTACCGAGATTATGGGATTTGGCATATCCGGTAGATCCGGATTATCTCGGCCAATTTTCAATTTCATGAAAAACATATCAACTGAGATACAAATAGAGCTTTCGATTGCTATATGTGTAGAACGTGTTTTTTGAATGAAAAATTAAAAAAATTTTTCTAATGCTTCCATACTTTTTTCCACCACTGTAATTATGTATACATAAATTCTGTTCCAAAAAATCTCGACACCCCCAATTTAAGAAAAATTGACAAAATTTTTGAAAAATTTTAAGTTTTTCAATTTTTTTTAGTTTTAATAAATTTGACTCGACAAGAATATTTAAATTTCAATTATAAATTGAAAAAAAAATATTTAAAAAATATCACATTTTTTTTTCTTTTAATCTGTTTAATTTAAGTATAATTATGTAAAATATGTATTTTGTTGACAAAAATGGGTTATAATTAGGGATGGGATTTATATGGATTTCCATATTTTTTTCCTGCACTCGTTGGGTTCTGAAACGTCCAAAAAACATGTTTTTAGCATATGGTGATAAGGCCGTTTTTGAGTTATCAATCCATATTTTCCATATTTTTCCATATTTCACCATTTTTTGTAAAATTTTGCCAAAAATTGGTTAAAATTTTCAAATTTATGAAATTTTTGGTCAAAAATTTTAATAAAAAACTTTTTTGAAAAAATTTTTTCGAAAAATTTTCGAAAATTTTTTTATAAAAATTTTGACAAAAATATATAAATCCCATCCCTAGTTATAATTTAAATAAAATTAATTCTGAGGGTATTTAAATAAACAAAATTTTGAGTGATAAATTGAATTAATTGTATAAAATTTAAAAAGTGAATTTATTTATTAAAATGCTTTTAAAATTTTTGTTTTTTGTTCTGTTTGTTAATGAAGGTCAGAAAAATTAATTAACAGATTTGAAAAATTTATCTTTATACATATCTAAATTTTTTATTTAAATTTATAAATCTAAGCAGGGAATGCTAATAAAATTTTTCCAGTCTTCCTGTGGAATTTTATCCTATGAATATACCATCTGAGGACCTTTAGGTTCCCGTTCGATCCAATAAACCTTCTTTAAAAATTTCTTTTAATTATATTTCGTAAAATAATTTTTCTTAAAATTTTTAAAATAACAAAAAAATTTATTTAGTTATTTCAACATGTCCAAACGGAGGAGGTGTTACTGTTACTTCAAGCGGTAACTGCGTTATAGTACAAGGTGTTTGCTATATAACTGGCAACGACATGTCATCTGGCGATGTTAAATTTTGTAATGGTGTACCTGTTGTTGTAGGTTTTGGTGGTTATCTAGTAATTGATGGTTTTTGTCTGAGTGGAACTACACAAGTTTCTGTGACAACTTCGCCTCCAAGTGTTTGTTTTACCGCTACTGGTTCTTATGGAAGTGGAGGTTGCACAAATTACCCTCCTCCAATAAATAAATGTATTCCTTAATTAAATAGATGTAGGAAATGAACGATATAGTTAAATAAAGTGATTTCAAATTAAAATTAAATAAATTTTTATTTAAATTATTGTTGTATTTTAAAAAAGAGAAATACTATAATATTATTGGAATCCAGTAAAGTCTTATATCCAACAAAATCTAACAAAAAATCATTAAAAAATAAAAATGAAATTTTAATAAAAATCGTTACTGATGTTTTGATGAAATAAAAAGATATCGAAACATTGGTATAAATAGAGATTACAAAGATAATCACTCTACTCCCAAAAAAGACCTTCATATCTCTCTTAATCCACAAATATCGGTGGATTTGTGTGATAAAGGTAGACTTGGAGTATATTGGTGATATATATAGGGGTCGCAGGATACAATCAGTTTACTATGAATGGGTATCTGCAGCTAAAGCTACCGTTTTTTCCTAATTTAGCTTCAGATATTACTACGGATTTTAATCTTTACATTGATAGTACGGATTTATCTTGAGCTAGCGATTTATTTGTAGATAGTAGCATTGTTACTACTAGCACGAGTAAACAAAATTTTGTAGTTTATCAAATTTTGTGTATTGTAACCTTGATATTACGAATATATTATGCAATAATTAATATGATAAATAGATTAATCAATTCTTTTAATTGTAGCTTCCAAACCAAACATACTTCGTATGCTATAAATCGAAAACATCGTTTTTGGATTGTATTTATTAGAAAGTTGATATTTTATGTATTTATAATGTATGTCTTCATTCCTTTCAATATTTTCTGCCCTTTCACTTATCAAAAGATCTCCACGGACACGTTCGAAGCTGATTTTCTTCACCATTTTAGAAATATTTTTTGATGTTTCTATATACTAAAAAATAGATTTTTTAAACTATTCGAGAAAAATTATTCTCAAAATTTAATATGAAATTTAAATAAGATTAATCAAGAAAACCCCTTGTAGGCTTATCAGTAATCATTAGAGTCCGACATTTTAGGTTCTGACCTATTTCTCTGCAAACTTGTATGTTGAATAAAGCTGAAAAATACTTAATTGGCATGGGGGTCTTCCAAAATTCTCAAAAATTTCGCTTGCGGCACTGAAAATGGAAGAAATATTGGGTAATTTTATAATTTTCAAAATTTTATAATTCTCAAATATAATTTACAAAGATTTCGCTTTCGGCGCTGAAATGGAAAAAAAATTTCGTTCCGTATCTGAAGCTCATAAAAAATTTTTTCGCAAAAATTTTATTTTTTATAATTAAAGTAACTCAAAAATTCGGACCAATTTTTTAAAATTCGGACATATTTTGGTATTTTTCAGATCTTTTTGAACCTATTTTGCCACCTAAGAAACTAAAAGAGGTTCTTTAGGTTGATATCCTTCGTAATCCCCAAATCCACAAAAAACTTCTACAATAACCTGTATAAATAAATTGATAAGTTTTAAGTCATGAAATTCACAATAAACATAAGAAAATCTATTTCCTCCATTTGTCAAAAATTTAAACAAATTATTTATATGTTCTTTTTTGGTGTGTCGTTTGAGTGTCAAGATTAATTCATGAGAAACTACTAGATAATTCAGTATAAATTTATAAAAATATTCATCAATCTTATTTCTAATGTATAGTCTAGCTCTTTTAGAATGAATTTGTAGAGGTATTTTTGTTTTTCCTTCATCAAATAATAATTCAATAATTTGCGGATTAAATATAAAATCACTAAAATTAACATATTCAAAGGTGGAGTTGAAAATCTGTTGAAGTAAATAACGAGCAATTTTCATTTCATCAATATTTTTTGGAAAGTTTGGAAATTCTAAATATATCTCTGCATAACAGTCAACTAAATAAAGGTCAACTAAAAAACTTTCCATTTATCAACAACTTAACCTGGTTCTAAATCAGTGCTTTCTTTTATTTCAAAAGCGATAATATTTATATTTATATTGTCTTGATATAAAAACATAGGAATTGATTCTTCTATTCCACATTTCCACTAAAATTTGATTTATTTTAAGCGAGAAAATAAAAATTTTTAACCTTTTTCTCGAGTTCTTCACTTATTTGAAAGTCATAAAGTTTGGGTTCAGGTGTATATAAATTATAATAATCTAAACAGCTTATACAATCCTAAAAAATTATTAGAATTAATTTAATGTTAAGAAATTACAGCTGTGAGTCCATGGGATTTCTTCCGTGCCAATTTCTCCTCATATTCATTAATAAAATTTTTATAAAAACGATTTGTTTGTTGAATATTTAATAATTGCTTGAAATTGAGATATTTAAATATATCTAGTTGAACTTCTGGTTGAAGAAGATGCATTTTTTAGTATTTACTAAAAAAATTTTTTTACTTATTACAACAAAAATCACAAGTTGAATGAAAAAATGAGGAAAAAACTAAATAAGGAGAGTAGAAAATAATTGATAATTAATTTTTGATAATTGATAAGAAATCGATAAATTAATTAGAAAATGTTGGTAAATTGATAATTAAATTCCTAATTAATTTTTCTTTAACTTTTAATTAGTAATTTTGCAAATGATCAAAAAACGTAAACTTTCGAAACATTCTCAAATAAATTTTTAGAATATCTGGGGATACGAACCTTTAATGGTAAATACCTAATAAAAATTTATAAGAAAAATTTAATTTTAATAAAAATTAAAAATTTAACGATGTATTTATTTATATAAATTTAAAGTATGCCCTAAATTTATGGTCATTGATCACTTATATAAAAATGTTGTAATGATATTATATTTTGGACATACACTCAGTAAACCATTAATTCTTAATTTTCCTTTTTTTATCATTTATCATTAGTCATCGTCAACGTCGAGGTTTTTATTTTTCTTTGTAAACATAAAAAAAGTTTATATAAAGATGTATTTCCTTCCAACTGAAGTTCAACTAGATATACATATTTAAATGTTTTAATTTTAATCAATTATCATCCTTTCAACAAACAAATCTTTTCTATAAAAATTTTATTAATGAATACGACGAATAATTGGCGAGGAAAAAATTCGATAAACTCGAAATTGTATTTTTATGATCCTCTAACAATTTTTATTTACTTTTAGCTTTATGGCCATGAGGGCAGTTCAAGTTTTTATGAATTATTTATGCCAGAACCTAAACTTTATGACTTTGAATTAAATGAAGAGCTTGAAAAAAAGGTTAAAAACGAATGTCATTATTTTAAAATATGCCAATTTTAGTGGAAGAATGGAATTGAAGAATCAATTCCATTGTTTATATGTGATTTTGATGTAAGCATAAATATTGCTGTTTGTGAATTGAATCAAGATACTTATCACCCATGTAAGTAGTTGAGATATAATAATGTCAAAAACTTCCAAACTCCAGTTAGATTTGCGGAGGCGGGATTCTCCGCTCTTCCCGGATAAATAACAAAAAAGAAAGCTTAAGTTTGATCATGTCAATTATAAACAAAGTGTCATAGATATTTAGGGTTTGACTTAGTACAAAATATAAGTAATTTCCAAGCAATGCCAAGCCTTTCAGTTAGGTTGTAGGGCATGGATTCTCCCTCTCCATGAGAAATAAATAAATAATAAAATTAGAAAACCTTAGTTTGACTAGACTTAACTGAAAATTATTCTCCTACTTTTTAAAATTTTATTTAGCCTCCTACTATACACAATTGCCAAATTTACCAAAAAATATTGAAGAAATGAAAATTGCACGTTATTTACTTGAACAACTATTTAATTGTTGCTTTGAATTTGTTCAGTTTGATAAAGTTATATTTAATCCCCAAGTTATATTTAATCCCCAAATGATAGAATTATTATTTGATAAAAACAAAACAAATATACCTTTACAAATTCATTCACAATCTGCCCATCTATTTATCTACAATGATTCTGATTATTGTTTATTAGAATTTATATTAAGCCATTTGATTTCTAATGAATTTACTGTTGATCTTTGGAAATTCAACAAAAGAAAGAGAAATAGGAAGATTTTATTTAAAATTTTAATAAATGGGGGAAATAAATTTTCTGTAGTTTCTTGTAGACATATAAAAGCAAAATTTTATAACAGCATTATACAGGTAAAGAATAATGATTTTTTATGGATACATAATTTAATTTTAGGAGATAGAAACATCAAAAGACATTTCTAAAATGGTCAATGAAATTAGATTTGGTGATATCCTTGAACCTCTTGATTTAAGTGAAAGAGCAGAAAATATTGAAATTAATGTTGAAAACATGAATTTAAAATCAACAAAATATCAACTTTCCAATAAATACAATTCAGAAATTAAATTTTCTATATATACTAAAGAAGTGTATATTATTAATAATAAGCCAGTTTCTGATGTCGAAATTAAAAGAATTAATTGATAAATTTAGTTATTTTAATAAACGTTGTTTTTGTTAAATTTTTAATTGGATTAATCAAATATTTATAAACAATGTTTTAAAATTTTAAATATTTTATCAAGACTTCATTAAACAATTTCTTAGTAAAACAAATGTAAAAGACCTCTAAAAAGGTCTGATAATAGCGTTAATACTAAGAAAAAATCAACGTTATTTCCGTTGATTTTTGGCTTTGAGTTGTTTTTTACATTTATTTTCTTGTGCTCATCTCAGGTTCAACACTACCTGTTCTCTTTTACTGATCGTTAACCTCGCCTATCCACTATCTTTATGATGAATCATCACACTATTTATTAAATAAAAACTTTTTTGTTTTAAACAATTTTATTTTCCAATATATTGATATTTTATTCTATGTTCTATTTAATTAAAAGTTATTTCATATTTAGTAATTTTACACGATTTTATATATGAAAATTTAATTTTTTATAATAATTATATTTTCAATATTTGTTAAAAATTCATCAAATTATAAATACTGTATTTGATCTAAAGAATTGTGTATTTGGCCAAACAAATTAAAAAAAGTTAGGGATTGCTCGAGAGTGATACCACAAAATCATCCGCGAGATTCCATCTCACTCTTAATATTGTCTTTTTCAGTTATAAAAATGAATTCAATAAAGTGTAGTCTAAAAATGTTATTTGTAAAGCTTAGGAAAAAGAAGCGTTTTGAAATCCAAAATTTTCTTCCACCAGAAGTTCAACTAGATATATTTAAATGTCTTAATTATGATCAATTATTATCTCTTCAACTAACAAATTGTTACTTTAAAAATTTTATTAGTGAATATGGGAAGGAATTGGCACGGAAAAAGTTCTATAAAATTAAAACTGTAATTTGTAAATATTAACGTAAATCTACAAATTTTTAGGTTCATATTGATAAGAACGATTTAATTTTTCATGAATCATTTAAACTAGACCCCAAACTTTATGAGTTCCAATTGAATGATGAACTCGAGAAAAAGGTTAAAAATGAATTTTGGTGAAATTGTAGTTGTGAAGCATATTTTTTTCAATTTTTCATCTCTCACAGAATTCTCTCCTACTCGCCGTATGCAAAAATTCAGCCAAAAACTTAATCAATATTTTTACAAGGATAAAGAGTGGAAACTTTTTTGTTGTGTTTCTGGTATATTTTTGCTTTGGCAAATAGTCGGATTTATAGTAGAGATGAAAAATTAGAAAAATGCGTCCTTAACCTACAATTTTACCTAAATTTCTTTTTTATTTTAAAATAAACCAATTTTAGTGGAAATGTGGAATAGAAAAATCAAAACATCTGTTCTTAAATGGTAATGGTAGAAAAATGCGTTATGCAGCCTGCATTTTAAAGGAAAGCCCTACTCAAAGTTATTTTGATAGTTGAGTCCTTAATCATCTTTTAGGAAATTGATAACTAAACACTTTTTAATCCAAACCAGTATTTCAGATTTACAATTTTAGCATGTAGTTTTGTAATTAAGGAATTGGGGATTATACTGTAATTGAAAAATTTTATTTTGCTTTATTTAAAAATTTAATCAAAATTTCAATTGAACTCATAAATAGGGATCGGATTTATATTGAAATAAAATCGGAAAATATGGCCATAAAATATTGAAATAAAGTGGCAAAATATTGACAAAAAATGGAAAAAACTAGCTAAATATTGAAATAAATTATCGTTTATTCACTAGAAAACCTCCAAAAAAAGTTGAAATTTAACAAAAAAAAATAACCACGTTTTTAAAATCGACTTTATAGCTCGACAAATCGAGTATTTTTACTCTCTTGGACATTTTTTGATTGATAAAATGAGGGTGGGACATTTTGTGGGTTTTCTCAATGTGCCATTTCGGGTTTTGTCCTGTGGGACATTTTAAGGGCGAAGCATTTTGGAATGGGCCTTTATGGGGACCTTTGGTCATTTACACATTTTGACAGCACTGTAGGCCATAACATCCCCTTTTCAGCGCCGCAGGCGAAAATTTTGAGAATTTTGGTTGTCAAACGTCTAGATTTCTTCACTTTTTTCCTAAAATTTATGAAAAATCCCAAAATTTTGTAAAAATATGCAAAAATATTGAAATAATTTGAAAAAAACGCGAAATATTGAAATAACGGGGAAATTGGCAAAATATTGAAATATATTGAAATGTAACTTTGTTCAAAATCATAATACCGAAAGACTAATGGCATATTTGGGCTTTTCTCGACATAATATATTCAGGAAAAAAAAATATATTTCAATACAAATCCGATCCCTACTCATAAATTAGACCATAGCCAAACAGTTTTTGTGATGTTACAAAAGTCTTCGTTAAACGACGACCTAACTTTGCATAGCTAAGATTAGGTCAGAAAAGAACGCCTTTCCCCTAACTGAAAATTATTCCTTTAATCTTTATAATTTAGAGATTTTTCTGCGATTTTCAAACATTCCAAGAAATATTGAAGAAATGAAAATTGCTCGTTATATATTTCAACAAATTTTTAACTGTGCTTTTGAATCTGCTGAATTCTTTACCATTATATTTAATCCACAAATGATTGAACTATTATTTGATACAAATACTACAACAAATATACCTTTACAAATTCGTGCTCAGAACACCATACTAACCATTTACAATCAACATTCTTTAAAATTTGCATCGAATCATTTAATTTCTAATAAAGTTACGACAAGTATTGACAGAGTCAAAAAAATAGAGCAATGTGTGAATAATTTATTTAAAATTTTGACAGATAGAGGAAGTAGATTTTATAATGTTTGTTATTACGATTCCAATCTAAAACTATGCAAACTAATTATACAGGTAGAAAATATAAATAGGAGGGACTATTTGAATAGTAATCTATTCTATTTAAAATATACGATAGCCTATTTTAACCGTAAATGTAAATTCTTAACTATCTTCTATTAGAATAACATCTAACAGAAACACACTCTAATTTCAGTACATTATTAGCGCCGCAGGCGAAAATTTTGAAGGCTGATCGGTCAAATTTCTTCCATTTTCAACGCTGCAGACTAAATTTTTAAGAATCTGGAAGGTCGTAGGCGAAAAAATTGACTTTTTCGATCTCCATATTTTGACATTTCCCCAATTTCGTGGCTGGAGGGAGGAGGCTCTAGCCTCCTGACCCTTGATGTTATCATCAGTCTCGACAGTCGCAATGGGGGTTGATTTGAATAGCCAGGGGGTTGGTTTCAGTGGTGGAAGACTAAGAACCAGACTTCTTCCTTTATTTACCGCAGGAGACGAAAATTTTGAGAATTGGAAAGACAAGTAGCTAGATTTATCCTTTTTTAAGCGCCGCAAGCGAAAATTTTGGAAAATTCGAAAATTAAATTTGGGCCAAAAACTCGGGAAATTTTCCCAAGTCGGGATCGGGATACCCGAACATCACTAGTACACCGTATGTAAGGGTTGAAAGTGGGAAATTTACTTTAATTATTGTCTTTTAATATACGTAACTGAATTTAATTCGGCAAATACGGTACAGTATGATTAATATGATATAAATTTTTATATTTTTTTTATTAAATTTGGAAAATAAAATTTGCATAAAATTAAAATAAATTAATTTTAGCATATAGAAACATCAAAAAACATTTCTAAAATGGTAAAAGAAATTAGACTTCGTGATATTTTCGGACATCTTGATTTAAGTAAAAGAGCAGTAAATGTTGAAATTAATGTTGAAAACATATATTTTAAATCAACAAAATATCAACTTTCCAATAAATACAATCCAGAAATTAAATTTTTTGTTTGTACTAAAGAGCTTAGTATCATTAACAATGAGCACATTTCTGATGTTAAAATTAAAAGAATTAATTAATATATTTTGATAAATCAACATTGTTTTTAATTTATTTAAATTTGTTAAATTTGAACTGTTAAAAATTTGTTAATCATTTATAACCAATATTATGAAAACCTTTTTATTTCATCAAGACATTAATGAATGATTAGGTATATTAAAACAAACGAAGAAGAACGTTTCAGTCCATTTTTGTTTTGAAAGCCCTAAAGCTATAAACCGGAATTTTAAAAGTGCGCCAGACCAGTAAAGTCTGAGAAGCATAACTTAATACATTTTTGGAAATCTATTTAGATATTTAAAATTATAATTCAAAAAATAAAAGGACTCTCTTTCACACATATTTATTAAATTAAAGGTTGTTAAAATAAATTAACAGGCTTAAAACAGCTAAAAATGATAAAAACAAATTTATAAAATATAAATTTATATAAAATACTTTTAAATAAGTTGCTCGTTATCGATAAATTAAAAGAAATTTTCAATTTTTCCTCTCAAATTTTACATTTAATTTTTCATTATTTTTATTTTAAATTGAAAAGGTACTCCATATTTCCACTCCGCGGCGCAAAATGAAAATCTCACATTTGGATTATGTTTATTGGTTATTTGGTATTTTGTATATTTTACACCATTGAAATGCTTAATTTGAACATTTTTTGCTTTTTCTTTTAATTCGAAATTTGAGGCAGATAAATATTCTAACAAAATAATAGGCACCATTTTTGAACAGTTTGTAGTTGTTCTTATATACTAAAATTTAAATTTAATCTATGAGAGATAACAAGGAATAAAGGGAATAAAAGTCAAAAAATGTTATTCTCGATTATGTTACTTTTCTCGTTAGTTTTCAGACAAATTTGACAGCTCAGGGGCACTGTGACAGTTACCATTAGTAAAGCAGCTGGGTTACAGCTATTTCTCTCCTTTAGCTAGTGCAAAATGTTCTTCGGCGAGTGGGAGCGAACCAGCATCTTCAGTAGACCAGACTGATGTGTTATCTATTACACCAGCAGCCTATGCACAGTAAGGTCGGCGGATAGTTGGAAATCTTCGGATATCCGGATCCGGTATCCGAACCGAAAATTTCGGATATCCGGCCTTTTTCGGATCCGGATATCCGGATCCGCCAACCTTAATGCACAGCCTTAAGAATTAAATATATATGCCTTACATATATGCTTTACATATATGTGTCAACAGAAGAAATGTTATTCTCGATTATGTTACTTTTTGCATTAGTTTTCAGAAAAATCTAACAATTCAGGGCAACCGCTGACAGTTACCTTTATTCGAAAAAAGAACGCTAGTTAGTATACCTAGCATATCAGTAAATAGATAACTTACTTCAAAAAGACGTTCATAAAGCCTTGACAAACTATAACTTCTGAAACTATTGATACAAACTTGAAATAATTTATTGCCTTCATTTATTAAAATATTAAACAAAATATCTATATATTTCTTTGAAATGTTATGCTCATCAAAAGCGATTTTGAGAGATTCGGAAATTGTTAAATGATTTGTAATGAATTTGGAAATATTTTCAATTATATTATTGTCGACATCTAAGGACAGTTTTTGAATGTTAAATAGAAGAGGAATTGTTTTGTCGTTCTCAAATAATAAATTAATTAATTCTGGATTAAATACAATTTTATTGAAGTCGGCATATTCAAAACCACAATTAAACAGATGTTCTAACCAACATCGAATAGTAATCATTTCTGATATATTTTTTGGAAAGTTGGGCAATTTTAAATAATAAGAACGAATCTTCTTTTCTTTTTTATTTGATTTTTTATATTGAAAATAATTTAGAAAATTTTCCAGGAAACTGGAGATGAAATTATCGTTTGTTGTCAGTCTTTTAGTTATAAATCCTTTATTATACAAATTAATAGCAAATACTTCGTGAGATCCAAAATCATGTAAAAACAAAGGAATTGATTTATTTATCGCTGTTTGCCACTGCAAAAATTAATTATTATTTAATTAAAAATTAATTTGACATTCTCGAGGAGATCATCGTTTATAGCAAATGGAAATACGCCAGCCTCGAGTTCAATGGTTTTATATACAAAGGAATTGATTGTGACGTCAACCTTAAATAAATAAAAAAAAAGTAATAACAAATAGTAAGAGAGATGCAAAGGGGTATTTTAGCCCTGGGAACTCATCGGTCATACGATCCTACTACTATGTAGGTTATTGCTAAAAGCTTTGCTCATCACGTAGGTACTCTAACAATAGACTACCGGGTAAAAAAGTATCACCCTTATCCTTTAAATAATTTTATATTTACTATTGAAAGTTTATCAAATTTCATTCTTGCTAATTCTGTCCAATATTTATTAATTAAATTTCGAAAGTAAAAATTTGTTTTATTAAAAGAGACTAATTGATTTAAATTAAGACATTTTAATATATCTAGTTGAACTTCAATTGGAAGAGAATACATTTAAATTATCTTAAAAGATATTCAAATTATTTTAAGCTAATAATTTTTAAACGTGAGGTAAATAATAAGGAATTAGTAAAAAAAGTGCAGGTCACAAATGAAGTAACGCTTGAAGAGTTCCTGTAGCGTTAGTTTATACAAACAAATGGATGTTTAGTCTCCCAAATTGTTTAGTCTTCCCTATACATACATTCAATAAAGTTATTTTTGTTATTTTTGTGTTCTTCCCAATGTTTGGTACAAATAAAATGAGGGAATTTTCCTCGCAACAATATTTTCTCCCCTATACATACTCAATAAAGTTGATGCCAAGCTATTCATATTCAATAGTTGAGCAATAAAGTAGTCCTTACGGCGTTGGAACATATAGCTTTGTAGCTACCTATTTTGAAAGTTTGTTGAGCTTTGTTTCTACAATAAACCCGCGTTTTCTAATTTAAATAATAAATTTAAGAAATAAAATTTGGATAATCTACATATTTTTCTTTCTAAAAAAATAAAATTGAAAATGTATTCTTTACCACCCGAAGTTCAACTTGATGTTTTAAAATGTCTCAATTTCAACCAATTATCCTCTATCAAACAAACCAATTTTTATTTTAACAATTTAATTAATAAATGTCAGAATAGATTGGCACGAGTAAAATTAAAAAAACTTGAAATAGTAAATATTTTTATTTATTTATCTTTTAATTAAAATTAATTTAAGTTTCAAATTATCTCTCGCCTTAGTTTTTTAAAACATAAGATTATTGAATCTAAATCCGGAATTTTTGAAATTAATTTGAATTATCGACTTAAGAAGAAGGTTAATGTGATTTTTATTTAATTAATTTACATTTGTTTTCTCAGTGGCAAGCGGCGTTAGATGAATCAGTTCCTTTGTTTTTACATGATTTTGGATTTGGCTGGGACTTTGTTATTCGTATAGGTTTAAAATGTTATAAAATTTAAACTTTGAAATAGAATTATTTATGTATAAATTTGGAAAGCCAATTTATTTCATTTTTGAATTGTTAAAACTTTAAATGGTTTAATGCTGGTCCCATTTCAATAAATAAAATTAACTCTGATTTTTAATAAATACAAGCAATATCTTTAAATTTAATTAATTTTTTTGAAATCATTTATAAATTTAGTCGACAAAGAAACCCTTTATATTTTAAAATTGCCAAATATTCCAAAAAATCTAAAAGAATTGATTATTATTCGCTTTTGGTTGAAACAACTTTTTGAATGCTCTTTTGAACGTGCTTGTTTTAAAAAAATTGTATTTAATCCAGAAATGATTGATTTATTATTTGATAACGACAAAACAATTCCTTTACAATTTCATATTCAAGAACCCTTTATATCTATTGACAATAATATAATTAAATATATTTTTAAATTTGCTTGTAATTATTTGGCAGTTTCTGAAACTCTTAGTATTTATTCTTTCGAGAATACAGAGAAACTTACAAATACTTTATTCAATATTTTGAAAAATGAAGGCAAAATATTTCCAAAAATTCGTTTCTTTGGACTTAGAACGACAAGGCTTCATGATCTTTTTGTTGATGTGAGTTAAGTACATATATACTAGAGCTTCGACGGAAGTTCCGTTTCCGGTAGGCCGGAATTCCGGGATTTTTTGGTTTCGGTTCCGGTCCTCAGTTTTGGTTAAACTGAAACTTTTAAACCCCTAAGGACTTTCACTTAGGTAAAATTTTCTTTACATTTTTTTTATTTTACTCTAAAAAGTTTTCTTTTGCCTTGTTTATAGGCCTAGTCTAATAAAAAATTTTTCCTGGACAAGTTTATAACCTTCTTAACCATTTTTGGGCATCCCAAGTCAAGACACACAAAACATGCATTTGCATGTTTTGTCCAACCCTAATAATAATGTTACAGAACTAATTTAATTTAAAAATGATAACATAATATTAATATAAAATTTAGTATATAACAACATCGACGGAAGTAGACAGTTCAAAAATTGTAGCTGCTATTGACTATCATTATAATTCACTTAACAATTTTGAATTGAACGAGAAAGCAGAAAATCTTGAAATTGATCTATTAAATTACATATACTATACAAAATATCAACTTTCCAATATTCACAATCCAAAAGTGAGATTTTCATTTTGCTATGAAGCAATGAAAGATGATTCTATTTATCTAATTCAAATCAGAAAAATGGAAGAGGAATAAATTATTTGATTAATACTTTCCACTAAATATGATACAAAAATCAAGTTTTTATTTATAATAAATACATAGATGGTGGTTTTATGATGAAGTTAAAATGTAATTAATGACTATTAATTTCCGCGAAGATTTCATTTATTTTTTAATGTCAATTTTGACATTTAGAAATAAAAAATTTTCACTTGTTTCAAATGTCAGCTTAGCCCCACTTTTCCACTCTCTAAATCTCCTGACACGGTTGAGAACATAGCTTAAAAATAATATTTATTAAAAAACGAAAAGAATACATTTAAAACAAATTTTTAAGATTTATAAAGAATAATTTTATCAATTATTTCTTTTAATATTAATTTCATAAACTGGCTCATTGTCATGGTTTTGATCAGTATACTCGATATTTATTTCTTTATTGTAGTTTGAAGAACTGTATTTGTTAGAAATCTGATCATTTGTAGATTTTAGTTTGCGGGGAGGTCCAATAAAACCACAGAATTTAATTTCCTTCACTGTGTTTGAAATGTTTTTTGATGTCTCTATATGCTAAAATTAAATAATTTTTTGATATATTATTCGGGAATCAGAAATTCCGAGGAATTGGAACTAAATCTATAAATCGGTTAAAACCTAGTCGAACCAAGAATGGACAGTGCCTACGATACGGGTTTATAATTTTGGTACTCTTGTGTTATTCGCCTCAATTTTCCTTATCGGCTATAACTTTTTCTATACTTGATCAAATCCGAATGATATTATATCATAGAAAAAAATTTATATTTTGTATGAGCTTCGATTCTCAAGAAATGATTGTCGAAACCAAAATTAAACAAATACCGTAAATATCCTAATAGAAGCCCATCCCTAATAGAAGCCCATGCTCTATTATAAGCCCACCCAATAAGGGGTATTGAAAAATAAAAGCCCAGGGCTTATATTAGGATATTTACGGTATGTCCTTGTAGCTATCGCTGATACTATTAAAGATTTACCTGTATAATAAAGTCATGAATTAAGGTGTTATAACGACAGCAAACTGTTGAAAATTTATTCGCACCGTTTGTTAAAATTTTGATTATATTTTGCTGTTTCCCAGAATAAATGGTTAATTTATTAGAAATCAGATGATTCAATACAAATTTTTCAAAATCATTGTTGGTAAGAAATATAAAAGCTCTTTCAGAATAAATTTGTAAAGGTATATTTGTTTTATTTCCATCAAATAATAATTTAATCATTTGTGGATTAAATATAGCTTTAAGAAAACTAGCAGTTTCAAAGGCACATTTAAAAAGTTGATCAAGTAGGTAACGAGCAATTTTCATTTCTTCAATATTTTTTGGAAAATTTGGAAGTATTGAGCAGAACACTAAATAAAATTTGGTACTCTCGAGTTATATGCCCCCATTTTTTATATGCCCCCCCCCCATTTCCCTTTTCTTTCCTTCTCTTTGTTTTCTTTTCTATTTTCTCTTTAATATTACAAAATGGTCAAGGGCAATTAATGTGTAAGGATTAAATTGGGCAAAGATTAAAAACGAAAAACTGAAGCTGTTCTTAGTAGTCTTACGTTCGCCGTCGTAACGCTAGACAATTTTGAGCCAAGTATGGAAAGTGCAGTTTAGCCGAAATTTTTTAAAAATTATATAAGTGATTGACCATTCGTACTTCATCTAAAACACGGGGGATGGAATAGGTACCAAAGTGTCATCCATCTTATTTTAACGATCTCATACAATTTTAATTATTTATAGCTTTAAATAATTAAATTACCTCGTTCCGATCTATAAATAGCAATATGTATGTTTCTTTCATCAACACTTAAAAACATAGGAATTGATTTTTCTATTCCTTTTATCCACTAAAAATCTATTTAATTTAAAATAAAAATATTAATTTTTAACCTTTTTCTCAAGATGTTTACTCAATTGAAATTCAAAATGATTTGGGTTTGGCTTAATAATTTTAGTAGAACGCATAAAGCTATTATGAGTATAATGCTAAAAATAAAAATTAGTAGAATAAATTAATAAACTACAATTTCGAGTCTATCGAATTCCTTTCTTGCCAGTTCTTCCTCATAATTGTTAATAAAATTTCTGAAGTAAAGATTTGTCTGTTGAATAGATAATAACTGACTGAATTTCAAATATTTAAATATATCAAGTTGAACTTCAGATGGAAGCAAATACATTTTTAATGTAAATTTTCTTTAATTAATAAACTAAAATTCTAAAATAATCGCATTATTATTATCAAAAATAAGAAAAATAAAAAATAAGAGAAAAAAACATTAGAGGACATTTTTAAAGAAATGTTATTTTTGGCAATACGAAACACAATCTGGATCGTGTCTACATTGATCGATAACTTATGTCTACTCCACCTATTCAAATTGTGATATTTACATATATCAACTCGTTTTTGTAGAAGTTTAAACTTTAAGTAGTGACCGGTAAAATCGATTTTTCCGGAACCGGATTCAGGATTTGCAACTCGAACCGGACCGGATCCGGCCGGATTTTTCCGGATAAACCCGGTCCGGTTTTAATCCGGAAATTTCAAAAAACCCGGATTTGGGATCCGGACTCAGGAAAAATCCGGCCGGCCGATCCGGCCCCGGTCACTAATTTTAATCAGTGTTTAATTAATTTCTAGACTCAATTGGGTAGTACGTTTTTATAGTCTGGTTAATGGAAGATCTCACCTGTTAACTCCACGTCAGGAATTCCACGTTCGGGAGAAACTTTCAGAAAAGTTTAAAAATAACTGTTACGAGATTAGTCTTTTAAAATCTCGTGCGTTATATAGTCTCGTTTAAATTTTATATTTCTATTCAGACTAAAAAGTTGATATAAAAATGAATCTTCTTTTACAAGAAATTCACCTAGATATATTTAAATGTCTTGATTTCGGTCAATTATTAAATATTTAGAAAATAAATCGTTACTTCAAAAATTTGATAAATAAATATGAGGATAAATTTGCATTGATGGAATTAATTAAAGTCGAAATTGTAAATTCAGTTTTTTTTAATTTTTTAAAATTTTCTGAAGCTTTCGATCAAGGAGAACAGTTTAAATGCGCCTAAATTTGTTAAACCAGTCCCTAAACTTTATGACTTTCAATTATGTGAACAACTTGAGAAGAAGGTTTAATTAATAATATTTTAAAATAAATTAATTTTAGTGGATAAGTGGAATAGAAAAATCAATTCCTATGTTTTTGGGTTGTAGTGTTAAGGACGTAAATCTCGTTATTTTTGTATTGGAACAGTGTTTTGAATTCAGACAAGGTTAATTTATTCGAGGCTATATTTACTAAAAATTCCTTTCGCCAGAATTCCTCTTTTTTGGTGTTTCGCCTTTCGCTTTTTAAAATCCGTTTCGTCACTCTTCTGGTACAAATACTTTTCAATTCTGATAATCGCCCTGTTCTGATGTAAATTACCTGGATTTGTAGAACAATTAGTGAAAAATTTTTTCTAGGAAATTTCTAGAATTTTTTGTCCAAGCTCATGATTATTTCTGATAATTTTGAAGTTCTTACCCTCCCACCCTGTTTCTTCTGGGATGGACCCAGAAGAAAGAGTACATTTTTAAAAACGGAATAACTAAAATATTTCAAAGATTCACATCTACATGAAAAACTGTTTTTGAGTGACAAAGATTTAGATTTATGGCTTGCAGATCTTGGACTACTTCACGGAAAACGAACTTGTCATAAATCTGGAGGCCAAACTACTATTCATCAAATTCAAGGTAGATTTTTTTGTAGGAAACTTGCAATTGGCGTTGTACAACAATAAAGGGTAGGGGACGAGGTCTTATTGCGGGTCCAGCCCAGAATGTAGAAATCCAGAAGGTCAACACCATAGAGGTCAAATGACCCAGAATATCATCTCCAAAAATTTACTGAATCGGCTATACTGAATTGTAGAGCTGTCCGAGACTCTTGGTCTTGGAACCAAGACTTTTCTTGGTTTTTTTTCGGTCTTGGTCTTGGTCTTGGGGTGTTTGTCTTGGTCTTGTCTTGGTTTTATTTTTTGGTCTTGGTTTTTTGGCCTTTTTGGACCTAGTGCTTGGCCATCCAAAATCCTCAAAATTTTCGCCTGCGGCGCAGAAAATGGAAGAAATCTGGCTTCTTGAGTCCCAAAATTCAAAAAATTTTCGCCTGCGGCGCTGAAAAATGAATTTTTTTGGCATACGGCCTTCCAAAATTCTCAAAATTTTTGCTTGCGGCGCAGGAAAGGGAATATTTTTGGCTTCTCGGCCTTCATAATTCCCAAAATTTTCGCGCAAAAAGATAGGGATAAAATAGAGGATGGATATCAGCAGCCACCATCACCTAATCACCCAGGCCCCCCAACTTCATACTATTCCTTTTGATCCCTCATAATCCACTTAAATTCCCCTTTAAATTAGGGTTCAGCGGTACCGGTATTCCGAGAAAAAAACGGTATCGGTATTTCGGATTGATGATACCGATCCCGATACCGGTACCGACTCGGGATCGGGATTAGCCTAAATCGGTATCGGGATTCGAGTTAATGATACCGGTACCGATACCGACTCGGGATCGGGATTTAAAAATCGGTATCCGTATTTCCTAAAAAATTTTAATAAATTTAAATCTTTAATAAATAAATTCATTCTTCATTTTGAAAAATGTTTTAATCAGTAATAAAATGATAATTTAGCACTATTAAAGCTATTCTCGAGACAAAAAACATCTCAGGAGCAAATAGAAGACCTTCCAAATCCATGGATATACACTTTAATCCTCCGATATCATCTTTATCCAAGGTCATACTCCAGATTCAGTTTTATACCTCAAATCAACTTTGGAGATTAGAAGGGATATCGGTAAACTTTTTGGGTGTACTAGGGATACCTCCGATAATCGAATAATACCCCTCAATATGGGGACCAGACCTGCATAAAACTTTTTTTTCATTAAGCTTCCTTCGTTAACAAAACACCTGCGTTGCATTAATAAACATTACTTATTTTTAAGCCAAAATTTTAATCACCGAAGGCGCAAGATCGAAAATTCCAAAAATTTTAAGGTTAAAAAGTTCGCCGCAGGCGGACTTTTTAAGATTATTGTAAAGTCAATAGGCCAGAGTTGTTCCTTTATTAGCGCCGCAGGCGAAATTTTTAGAATTTTAGAAGGCCGTGGGTAAAAAACTTTGTTTTTTCAGCGCCGCAGGCGAAAATTTTGAGAATTTTAGAAAGCAAAGTGGCGAATTTCGTTTATATAACAAATGAGAAATCAATCCTTAGGGGTGTTAAAAAATACCGATTTTCATCGGTATTTGGCGCTAATCCCGATACCGATACCGATACCGGCCTCGGTATCGGTATCAGCAAAAACGGTATCGGGATTTATCTTTCGGTATCGGTATCAGTAAAATCGGTATCGGTATTCAAAGTGACCGGTATAATACCGCCCGATACCGGTCGGGATCCCGATACCGCTGAACCCTACTTTAAACCTCGATATCCTCCTTAATCCAAGGGCGTAGCCAGGGGGTCAATTTCGAATGCGGGGGGGGGGCTAACGTTGGGTATCGCCAAAATTTTGGCTTTACCTTGGCGTTCCAGACGTAAAATCCCACGACATCCCTCATAATTCACTAAATCCCACGGCAATCCCTCTTAATCCTTTGGTTTCACTAATATCCGGTTAATCCACCCAAATCCTCTGAAATAATAACCATTTTTATTGATTTTCCACACGAATAAATTCCCCGAAATTCTTTGAATTTCGCATAAATTTTTCGAAATTATAGATAATTGTGCTGAAGTTGACTGATCGTATCAAAATAACAAAAAATAAACCAAAAATTTGACCTATGAGATTTAAAAATTTGGTCTTGATTTTTGGTCTTGGAGTTTTGGTCTTGGTCTTGAGTCTTGGTCTTGGAAAAAATTTTGTCTTGAGTCTTGAGTCTTGGAAAAATTTTGGTCTCGGACAGCTCTACTGAATTGACATTCTGAATAAGGCTTTACCGAACAAAAAGATGTCGTGCAGAACAAGGTTATTTATCCGGTACTTTTTTTGAAGGAAGGATGTTTGGCTTTTGTGGGGAGTCGAGAAAGGGACTGATGGTGAAAATGCTTTTTAAACGTTATACAGGGTGACAAAAAAGTAACTGCACAGTTTTTATTTTGCCATAACTTTTTTCTCATTAAAAATTTTTTTTAATTTTTATCTCGTTTTGTAGCCAATTCAATTCTCTTTCAGGGCTTTTAGGCCCTGTTCCATTATTGAACCTTTTTCAAAATGTTTAAGCGTTCGCATAATTTCAACTCCCCCCAAAGTTCAAAAAAGCACTGTCGAAAAATTTTTAAAGAATTCTGGTATGAAATTTTCTGGGAAAATTTTTTCTAAAACTTATTTAGTGAAGTAGGCATGAATGTCGACTTTATAAAAAGTAGAAGAATTCTATCAGTAATTACACTTGAGAACGTGAGCATGGACAATTTCCGAGTACATCCCAATCCACGGGTTACACTGAGATAAAGCGCCATGGAAATTGTTTTGGCTGGAGGATCGATTCGTTTTATTACTTATAATGAACAAGGACTCGTGCCCTATAATCACAGAAAAATTCAACTTTTTACGTAATAAATGAAAAAAGTTAGGACCCAGAGATGCAAGTACCCTCTGAGGCCAATTACCCGGTATTAAACTGTCTCAGATATGGCTACCGTACTCTCTGGATTTGAATCATTGGATTTTTATTTTAGGTGATTTTTAGAGGCAAGGGTCTGCTCTTACTAACCCAAAAGTTTTGAGTCGCTTCGATAATCACTCGTTCGGGAATGGAAGGAAATCTCGCCCGAGTAGTGCAAACTTTTTCCCAAAATTGTTCCACGCGCCTTCGACTCTGTATCGAAGCAAGGGGTGCATACTTCAAAAATTCTTGATAATATTTGTTCCTTATTTAATTCTCTATTATTTATGCTTGGTTTGATCTCATTATCTTAAAAATGAATAGAGTTATAGCAAAAAATACGTGTTATAGCAAAAAATACGTGTACTTTCTTGTCACCCTGTAGAAGTAAAGAGATCTACAGAGAATCTCCATGATTCTTTTTTTCTTTCTCCTTTCATTGACTGATTTTATGCCATAGCAAAATTAAATAGAGCTTAGGAAAGAAGGAATTGACCATTTTTAATACTTTGAGAAAGAAATTAGAGAGGGAGGGTACGAGCTTAAAATTACCTTATTTTTTAATCAAATTATATTCAGAATTCTATTTACAATTTCCAATCATTCCAAAAAATATTGAAGAAATGAGAAATGCTCGATATTTATTTGAACAACTTTTTAGACGTAACATTATTTGCTTTGAATTGCATCAATATACACTGTGGTGCAAAAGTTTATATACACTATGGAAAATTTTCTTTAATGTACCGTATCTCGAGAAGTCTAAGTTTTATCGAGATAATTTTTTTTCGCCTAGTAGTATAAAAAGTGCTCTTTCTAATAAGCTTTAGTTTTAAAAATAACCCCCAGTACTTATTGAGATATACACCATTTCCCAAACTGCTTCAATTTTCTTCGGTGCAAAAGTTTATATACACTTTACAAAAATTGGATTTTTAGAAAAACAAATGGCAGGAAAAATACAAAAAAATTCTGTGAACATTTTCATCAATACTGAGTAGAAAATAAAAAAGAACGCAGTCCGTAACTGTTTTCATCATCGAGATCTCAAATCACAAAAATCAACGGGAAAACGGGGTACAGTACTTTAAAAATTATTTTAAACCCCCAGGGCTTATATAAAAATTTTCTTTTGGGTTCATTAGAAAGCCCATAAAATTTGCTATAAGATAGCCAAGGCTCAATTTTTCCGATAAAAAATTCATGGAGATAGGGGTCTAGGAATTTAATAACTTATCATTTTTAGTCAAAACCTCCCAAAATACCCCACATTTTTACTCATTTTTAATTTCACAGTAAGTAACCCACACGTAAATACTATACAGATTTTTTTACAAAAACGAGACCAATGGTATTTTGTAGCAAATTTTATGGGCTTTCTAATGAGCCCAAAAGAAAATTTTTATATAAGCCCTGGGGGGTTAAAATAATTTTTAAAGTACTGTACCCCGTTTTCCCGTTGATTTTTGTGATTTGAGATCTCGATGATGAAAACAGTTACGGACTTCGTTCTTTTTTATTTTCTACTCAGTATTGATGAAAATGTTCACAGAATTTTTTTGTATTTTTCCTGCCATTTGTTTTTCTAAAAATCCAATTTTTGTAAAGTGTATATAAACTTTTGCACCGAAGAAAATTGAAGCAGTTTGGGAAATGGTGTATATCTCAATAAGTACTGGGGGTTATTTTTAAAACTAAAGCTTATTAGAAAGAGCACTTTTTAAACTACTAGGCGAAAAAAAATTATCTCGATAAAACTTCGACTTCTCGAGATACGGTACATTAAAGAAAATTTTCCATAGTGTATATAAACTTTTGCACCACAGTGTATATTTAACCCACAAATGATTAAATTATTATTTGATGAAACAACGAAACTACCTTTACAAATTCATTCACAGAAGTCTAATCTATTTATGTACAAAGATTATTTCCATTCTTGTCTTTTAAATTTTGTATTAAATAATCTAACTTCCAATCAATTTACAATTTATCTCGATGATGCCGTCGATATAGGGGAATATCAGGATGTTTTATTTACAATTTTATTAAATGGAGGAAATAAATTTTCTAAGATTTGTTATAGAAATCGTAAATTGACAGAGCTTTATAATCTTATTATACAGGTGATTAGATAGTATTGATCAGTTTCTAAATCTACTGATATTCTCCCATTGCAAATATCCCCCTTTAATGCTACAAATCCACTGATGTCCCCTAAATCCCGCCAAACCCCTCGTCACCCCTATTCCCTTTAGATACCCTGAGTAAATTTGTGAGAAACAAAAATTTTGATGATTAAAAGGTTGTAGTCTTAAAGATCAAGCAGCTTTTAGGCCTTGGAAATTATTCAGAACCGAACCTAAAATCCTCGGTTATCCATCTCAGTTACAAATAAAATATTCCTAGTCTTAATTAAAAAACATTCTATTTTTAATTTTAGCATATAGAAACATCAAAAAACTTTTCCAAAATGGTTAGGGAAATACTATTAGTTGATGTTTATGGACGTCTTATGTTAAGTGACAGAGCAGAAAATATTGATATCAACGTTGAAAACTTCACTTTAAAATCTACAAAATATCAACTTTCCAATAAATACAACCCAGAAATAAAGTTTTCTGTTTATATTGAAGAGATTTATGTTATTAACAATCAGCCAATTTCCGATATTGAAATTAAAAGAATTAATTAATAAATTTATTTTTAACTTTAAATCGTTCAGATAAAAAATTAGAGTTCATTAATTGCATAAATTTACTTCCTTCGTTCAAACAAAAGTGAAAAGGAAATGAAAGTAAATGAAGTTTCAAATTTATTTTTAAATTCTTAGATTAAAATATGATAAAAATTTAAACTAGTTTAAGAAAAATTTTTAAATGAAACGCCAATTTAGGTTATAAATCTCAAAATATTCAAAAATCACAAAACTTGTTTCTTAGTGTTATAAAATTTACTTCAAAAATTTATAAAAACAAATGTTTAGCAAAAGGACAAATTTAATTTTTATAAAGTAATCGTTGACATGTATATCAAAATAAATAAATTTTCAATTAATTCTTTTAATTCCAGCATTAAAATATGGCTCATCGTCGCACTCATGAAAATAAATAGAAAACTTCATTTGTGGATTGTATTTATTGGAAAGCTGATATTCTTTGGATTTAAGAATGTAATCTCCAACTTCCCTTTTAAAATTTTCTGCTCTTTTACTTATCAGAAAATCTCCACGAAAATTATCCAATCTAATTTCTTTTACCATTTTCGAGAGATCCTTTGCTGTTTCTATATGCTGAAATTGAATTTTTATAAATGCTCTAATTAGAGAAATTTGAAATGGCCCATCAAGATTATGCGTCTAAAAAATTTTTATGCATCCAATCATATTTTTGTGTTTAATCCAGACCTGGTCACGGATATGGATATGGATACAGATAATATAAAAATGCCTGCGGATATCCGCCTGTATCCGTGACTAGGTCTGGTTTAATCTATGGCAATTTTTATTTTTGCGCGTGAGTACCATAAAAGCGAGCAGACTTGAAAAACGGCTACTTTTCGCAAAGATTAGACACATAAAAAGCGAATAAGTTTCGGGGGAAAGAGAATAAATCTTTGTGACCTTTTCATACTTCAATTGTGGACTAGGGGGGGATTGTCTCGTTTACGCGTCTTCAATGGAAGCGTAAACGAGACAAAAACGTAGACATTAGCCAAAAATAATTTAAAATTGCCTGAATAATTAGATTGTAAAGTATTGAGTTGCAAAACTCATAACAGACAGAAGAAAATTTATTTCCTCCATTTGTCAAGATTTTTAATAAATTATTTGTAGATTGTTCACTATTGGAGAGTGAAGGTTTAATTGTTAATGCATAGGAATTGAGATTATTTAATATAAATTTTAAAAACCAATCATTAATCTCCAAGCAAATATACAGTTTAGCAATTTGTGAATGAATTTGTAGAGGTAAATTTGTATTGTTTTCATCAAATAATAATTCGATCATTTGTGGATTAAATATAATGGTGACAAAATGAAAATAATGAAAAGTTAGATTAAAAATCTGTTGAAATACACAACGAGCAATTTTCATTTCTTTAATATTTTTTAGAAAATTTGGTAAATAGAAATAGATATCTAAATAATAAAAATTAGAAAAATATGTAATTTTTTGTTGTAGGAAAGGACTTTAGAATTGGTCCAATTCTAGAAGGTCATCCACTGAGATCAACTCTTTAATGATCAAATGACCCAGAGTCGACTTCCAAATGTCAACTCCAAATATTTGGGGTTTTGTTTTGTTTGTAATTTTGTCAAGGGTACGCTCCAAACCGGGTAAAGAAACAAATCCTTCTTAATCTAACCAGAAACATCGTTATCCACCGGTTCGGTACTAGACTTATACGAAATTTTTTTCATAAAATTTCTTAAAATTGAAAAACCAATGCTTTGTTTATAAAAATTTTCCGAGAGGAATAAATAATAACCTTCTCCGCATACGTGACGTAGTTCCATTACAACAGAAAAATTATTTTTTACACCATCATTATTCAAAAACAAAGGAATTGAGTTTTCTATTCCACATTTCCACTAAAATTTGGTTATTTTTAAATAAAAACATTAATTTTTACCTTATTCTCGAGTTCTTCACTTATTTCAATGTCATAAAGTTGGGGTTCTAATATATTAAACTTATATTTTTTTGAATCATACATATTGTAGTAAAACTAAAAATTACTAAAATTATGAGGATTTTTTAATAGGATTTTTTTATTTTTAGTAAATTTTAGAACAAAAATGTTATTTTTTCTCTTCTAGTTTTCAAATCCTAAAATTTTCGCTTGCGGCGTTGAAAGAAGAAAAAATTTTAAGTATGTATATTTTTCATGTAATTCTCGGCTTTTCATAAGATGAGCAATAGTCATAAAATTTTCCTCAATTCAATTCTTGTTTTTGATATAGCCTGCGATGCAAAAAAGTTATTTGCGGATTTTTCAGATAAATTTTTAGTTCAGAAATGCGGATTTTTAAAAATTCGAGATCGAATCTCTGATTTAATAGTAAATAACAAATTACAATTTGAAAACTCTCTAATATGGTTGCTAATTCGTTTTTAAATTTATTAATAAAGTGTGAGTAATATAGATTTGTCTGTTGAACATTTAATAATTGGTTAAAATTTAAACATTTAAATATATCTAGTTGAACTTCTGGTGGTAGAGAATACATTTTTATTTAAACTTTTTCTGAAAAAATAATAAAATTATTCTCAAAAAAATATTATTTTAAATATTTAACTGACTTAAAAATCTGGAAAATTTTTTTAAATTTTAGTTTTTATGTGAATGCAATAAAAAATTCAGTTACTTAAATATTACTTTTCTAATATACCCAACCTTTTCTTTTATTCTCAAAATTAATCTTGTTTTCTAACAATAAAAGGGAAAGATTCGAAAGAATTATGTACTAGGCATAGAATGTATAATTTAAAGAAATTTATGTAAGAGGTAATTTGAATGGGTTTAGCCTAGAAAAAAGATTAAAAACAGTTCTCTTCTGTTATTTTTTCTTTTATTTGAAGAAGAAAGGAAGAAATATTTAAAAGATAGCTTGAAAGAATTCTTTGATAATTATAGGGTGACACGACTCGGGCACAGTGATCCAATTGCACAGTAATTTGTGGTTAAGTGGATTTGTGTTAGGTTTTACTTATAGTTATAAGGGAATAAAATGTTATTATAATTATTAATATTTTATAATACCTTTACTAAAAAAATCTTAAATTTTATTAGAATTTAAAATTCTTTTTTTAACATAAATACTAGGTTGAGGTATAAAAAAGCTCGTTTTTTCCAAAAATAAGATTTCTAAGAAAAATCTATAAATCACAAAAAGAATCAAACAATAAAAAATTTAACTGAACATAATAATTGCCCTGAGTCTTGACAACATTTTTTAAACAAAAAAGTTACAAAATACCCCTTTTAAAAAATCTGATTTCTGATGCACTGTACTACCCAAACGCAGTCTCGTCTTTTCTGACGAGACTGCGTTTGGTGCCTGTCCCCTTCAATGAAGTGCCTGTCCCGTAAGAAATTTTGAAAAAAGTGAAAAGGTGTTTATCCGCTCAGGACTACAAGGAGGTAAGGTAGCAATTTCCAACAGTCTATTTTTGATATAACAGGCCGTCAAAAATTAACGGTGCGAAGGAGCATTATTTTAATGGCAAACGGGGAGTCGGAGCTTTATATGAGCTTTATATGAGCTTTATATAGCAACGGAGCTTTATATGAGCTTTGACTATATTTAAATTTAAATAGCAGATGAAATATTAATAATTAATAACATTTTATTCCCTTATAACAATAAACAAAACCTAACACGAATCCACTTAACCACAAATTACTGTGAAATTGTCCACTGTGCGGATGCCCTCTGTGCAAGTCTTACTGTGCAATTGGATCACTGTGCCCGAGTCGGAGCGCCATTCAAACAGTTTTTATTTTAAATTTAAAACATTCCCTCAACAAATAAATTATTTTCTAAACATTCAAAACAAAAGTTTCTCTGGGCAAAAAACCCTTCAATATATATAAATACATATATTAATTTATATATTTTTTAATTCAATTACTACATATATTTAAACTCCATAGAAATTTAAATTTTTGTCTAAGAAAAAATTAATTTATTTTTGTAAATTTAACTTTTAAATTACCAAAATTTTATAAAAAAAGTGTCATTTCTGTTTCAATTTTTGTTTTAGACTGCCTTGTTTTTTAAACTAATTCAAATTAAAATTCAAGAAAATTCTTCAACTTTTTGGATAATATTTAAACAAAGAAATTAATTTCGTTTTTTGTAAATTTAATTAAATTATTTTAATTTATTTAATTAAGAAATTTTCTTTAAAATGAATCAGAAAGGATTATTAAATGTTGAAAAACATAACAATGATTTAATTAAACTTGAAACCAATTTTAACAATCTTCAAAAATTTTTTGTTGAAGAGAAGGAAAAGAATTTAAATCTTGAAAAGAAAAATATTTTTCTAGAAAATGAATTGAAAGAAAAAGAAAAAGTTTGGATACTTTTTTGATTTAATTTCGAAAATAATTTTAGAAAATTGAAGAAATGATGCTAAATTTTCAAAAATTACAAGATGAGAAAGATGCTTGTTTAAAACAAAAAGACGAGAAAATTAATTCTTTGGAAGAAGAAATGAAAAAGGTAAAGATAAAATATCCTCATTAACAATTTCAAATAGTGGCACCCAGAGACTCCGGGGTCGGATGTGTCGGGGATCGAGAGTTTGCCGGCGTAGAGCTTTCGAGGTTCGGGTCGGGGTTTGTCATAAAACCCGTCGGGGTTTGGGGACGGGGTGCTAACCTAATTTTAAATCAAAAGCTAATTTAAAAAATTTAATTCATATAAAAAGGCTCATGAATTATTTGACAAAAAGAATGAGTTATCAGTTAAATTGAAGAATATGTATATTAAATATGTGGTTAGTTTATAATTAAATTTAAAAATTTTTTAAATAATTTTATCCCCTTTCTCAAATTTGTAAAAATATTTTTGGAATTCTTTAAATTAATTTTTTTAGAACCTAAAAAAGGTTTCATACAAGCTTGGTTGTTGTATTATTTGTCAATCTCAATTGAACCATGAAAATATTTATATCTTGAAAA